AAACCACGGAAACTGCAAGGCCTGCCGGTCACAGCACCTGCGCTGAGGATGCAGGGAGGCCATGGGCAGCCGCCAGGTGGACCGGTTTGCAGACAGTGGCTAAAACTGGGAGATGTTCCCCCGTTTCAGTGGAGAGCAAAAGTCCTCAGTGAAACCTCGAAGGGCTGGGTCAGGCCAACCGGATGAACTCCTGAAACTGGCCCCGGGCTCCCGCCTGGACGCCCCTCCCCAGGAGAAACAGCTTGTGGAGAGTCCCGATTGAGGAGAAACGGAATTGCAGAAGGGGAGAAGACAGCATGTCCAGATGACTAATCCAAGCCAATAAATGTCACGAAGCAGCTGTGACAGAAAACGGCAGAAGGATCACTTACGTTTAAAAAAACAAAAAAAGGCTGATAGAACCAACACTTCTTATAAAAGTTAGGAAAACTAACTTCATATAAAAATGAACAGCAGGAAACTATCAAGGTCAAATCACATACAAAATTACCAGTTAGGAAAGGAGAGAAGGATGAGCTGTCATGCAGACCAACAAGGGAATCCTAAGGCCGCAGCATCCTCGCCCGCAACATGGCCAATCCCAGCCCCGGTGACAAAATTCTTTAACGGGGTGAGTCCTGTTCCCATTTTCACTCATTTAATAACGAAACATCGTTTTCTCACTGAGCACGTTGGCTGAAGAGGGAAGAGCCAACAGCCAGTCTTCCGTCTTTGGCTGAACAGCCTGGGGCTCTTCCTCCACCTCTAGTCCCTGCAACACCATCAGGGGGAGGCAGGTCAGGGCAGCGAGCAAAGAGCCAGGGAGCTGGCTGCTGTGACAGGGACAACAAGGCCCGGAAACGGGGGGTGGGGGGGAGGGGGAAGGTCAGGCGTAGGAAAGCAAAGCTCTGTGGGGTTTTCATTTTTACCACAATTACACACAAACACAGCTTCCGGGGTCAAATCCTGTTAAAAAGTCAAATAGTTTAAAGAATTTACAAATTGGACAAAGACTTAAAAAATAAAATAAAATAAAGCTGTTGGCTCCCAACTTCCTCTAGAGAGGTTCCTCTTCAAATTGTTTTATAGCTGATTCCCGGGCATTTACCTCCAGGTGCCGATCAGTGGGCTTTTCAGGTGGAAGAGCCGCTGCGCTTTCTGATGCGCCAGATTCACAAGGTCTGATACTCGGTGACGGTGACGGCTGAGAGAGAAGGGGCTGGCGTTGCCGTCTGAGAGCGCTAAACTGGGAGACCGGCCACCGCGACCTCAGGGTAGCGCGGAGCTTGGCAACTCAAAGCGCCATAGCAGGTTTCCCCGGAGCAGACCTGAAATATTGGAGGCAATTTTGGGGAAATGTGTATTTAAAAGTCTGAAAATGCTGCCTTTTCGCAGACGTATATCACTACCTGTAGTGCCTGGGAACACCTCCGTGAGACTGTGTTTGGAATCAGGTACTTCAGGTCAGCAAGGGATGGCGCGGGGCGATGGCACAGCCCTCCCCTGAAGTGTCCTGTACCCCTAACACAGGTTCTTCCACTGCAGCTCAGGCTCACTCAATTGCAAACCCTTCTAGGAGGCAGGGCTGCGGCTCACGCAGAGCCGATAATGACTGTCCAGTGGTCCTCTATGCAGATTAATTTAAATGGACGAGAAGAGCACGAATTCCCGCCAGGATGCCTATTGCATCTTCCTGGGAGTTTCCTGTTCTTTCCATCCTCGCCAGTCCCATAACCTGCTGTGGCAGGAGCCGGAGAAGCCGTATTACCCTGTGAAGGCAGTTTAGGCTTCTATCTTTGGGTTCTACTATCCTGCAGTTTCTTGTGGTCCCACTGCTACATCTTTTTAAATTATTCCACCAGTAATATGTGGACTCTGCTAAAGAAAGTCTCCTCTCATTACACATTTCCCCTCAAAACCATTAATGACTTTTCTTCTATATTTTAGGAGGAATTTCAAAAGTACACATTCCAATTTTTAAAAATCCTCTGTGTGTGTGTGCGCGCTAGAATTTGATGCTGTTCACTTAACAGTATTTGGGGAAGTAATGGTGGTTTTACTATGAAATCTCCCTTCCCCAAAACTCACTCTCCATTCATTCCAGTTTCCTTCAAGTTGCACACTGAGGTTTTGTCATTTTCTTGACAAAAATCACCTTGATTTTTGTGAATCACATATTACTTCCCTTTAATTTCCCAGCTGGCTGCTGTTATTACATAAAAAAGCATTCAGTTATGAGTATTTAGTTCCCAGTCACTTGATAGAATTACCTTACTAGTTTTAAGTGCTTTTCAGTCATTTTAATTTGTTTTTTAGGTAAGTGATTAATATCATCAAACAAATTCTTGTCTCCTTTTCAATATTTATAATTATTTGTCTGATCAGAATTGGATGAGAATACCTCTCATGTGTCATTGACTTGGTTAGGGACTTTTTATTATTATGTTAAGAAAATAACACTTGATTACTATTTCACTACGGATATTTTAAGTTTGGATTTTGCCCAGATGAGGACTCTGGGGCCAGACGTGGGGATCAGGTCCCGTTGAGCGAGTGGGACGTGGGATGCTGCGTGCCAGGAAGACAAATCTGGTGTCAGCGCGTAAGGGGAGAATATTTTAACTTCGAGGAAATCTCAGTGACTTATGGAGACACAGGGCCGTGTATTGAAATGAGATTGTTCCGGATAACGCAGCCCAGGTGGGATTACTGGCATGTTCCTTGGCCACCAACACTCTGGAATCTACCGTTGCCTCCCTGAGCTGCCCTCGTCGTAGGGACGACATCGCCCAGCCCCCTGAGTGCTGGTTTGGCCAATGGAAGCAGTAGAATAGGAGGGGAGGCCAAAGAAATGGGAGGCCAAATGCTGGGGTCCAGCCCCAGCGGTCCAGGGGTTCCAAAGGTGTGGACGGAGTCGGCGAAGACTATCCACCCTCTTCCTACGGTGGAGTCCTATCCATCCCCAGAGTGGGGCTTACCTAGGGGAATGGGGGGCTTACCTAGGGGAATCCTGTTCGGCCTGTTCAGGCGCCATATGCCGGGGTCCAGCCCCAGCAGTCCAGGGGTTCCCAAAGGTGTGGATGTAGTCGGCGAAGAATGTTTTACACGGAGACAGCGTTCATAGCTCTCTTTAGTCTCCGTGGATCTTCCTGTGCCTGGCTGAGGCCACAGAGAAAGATCCCGAGGCAAGCTGAGCCTTTATTTTATAGTCAGAGGTAAACAAGGTAGTGGTTACCAAAGTTACACTGTTCTTATGAGTTTCACTTGTTTACACTGTTCTTGTGAGTTTCACTTGTTTTTGTTCTTGTTCTTGCTGCACTTCCCTCAGCCCATTAGCTTCCCAGATAAGATCTAGGGAGCATCATAAGGTCAAGCCTAATTATGCTAAGAGCATCATAAGTCAAGCCTAATTATGCTAAGAGGACTGTGCCCTCTAAGCTGGGACTTGTTTGTGACTTTGCCAACAGGTCAGTCCCAGGCTTAACCCTATAGCTGCTCCCCACAGCCGAGTGTCCCACCCCTCTTTCTCTGCCTTCTGGGGTGTCCTTGGAAGACACCACACCACCTCCTTGGCTCCCCTCCCACTGAATGGTCCTTTTTTGATGGTCAAGCGACAGTCAGACAACCCTAGGTTTGGGGACTTTCAGTAGAACCGCCTGAAACCTGTCCTCCCATGCTGCCCCAGCCCTCCAGCCAGGGTCCTGGCTTAGGCGGCCGGTTTCTTGTGCACTTTCTCTGTTGTATGTGTGAGCGAGCCATCCTGAGTCTAACTCCAGGACCCCTCCCATCCAGCTCTCCCTGCCCCTGACACCAGCGGGCTGGAAACAGCTGCTGGAACCAGTCCTCCCTCCTCTCAGCTACACAAGCCCCGAGGTTAGCCTACTGCACCAGCCTGCTTTCTATGTGCCTTTTTGCAAAGCATTTGGCATAGGAAGTGGCGCCCTGGGCCCGGAGAGAGCCTGTGGGTCTCTCCTTGTAAAATAGGACGTGTTGATGAATATGCCAGCCACTTAAACGCTTCCTTTCTCAGCAGCTTAACCACTATGTTGGAAGCAAAGCCAAGCCCCGTTTTTTCCCTGGTTATCAATCATTCTTCTTCCACGGTCCCTGACATCGCCTGACATGCAGGCCTTTCCTCTTCCTCTCTGTTTAGCTGGGGGAAGAACACCCACTAGAGTGAGAGCTTGGGTTTAAATCCAGCTCTGCCTACTAACTGTGTGGCCTTGAGCAAGTCACTTAACCTCTCTATGCCTTAGTTTTGTCATCTGTAAAATGGGAGGAACAACAGTACTAACTCTTCCCCAGCTTAAATCTCTCCCTGACTCCTGAGCACCCACAGACCAAATGCATAAGGACCCCCCCTCTCCGTTTCCTCAGCTCCACTGTGTTTGGGATGCCTCCTATCTTACTTCTGCGCTAGACAATGTCACACACTGGGCCTCACTTAAGTCTCAGACAGATTTGCAAGGTGCATCGCTATCTCTATCCACAGATGAAAAAGCAAGGTTAGGTGGTTCAGGAACCGCCCAAAATGTCCCTGGTCTTTCCTCCTTATCCTGCCCCTCTGTCCACACGTGCTGCTGTCCAAACAGAATTTGCTGCAGTTTTAAGAACATTCCATGCTGTCCCATCTCTTGTTTCTTGGCCTGTATGTTGTCCTCCCCAGTGTATTCAGAGAATTACAAGTAAGTGAATTTGGCAAAAGCAAGTGGTGTGGACGTGAGGGAAGTGGGAGAGTAGAAAGTAGGGGCTGAAGCTAAGCTGTAATTTAGGGGGTTTGTGCAGAGATGTGAATATGTCCCCTTCCTGAAGGGGGAGCTGTGCCTTTCTACTTGGGATCCTGACACCAAAACCTGTGATTTCATCATTTGAGGTTCAGGTTGAAAAGTGCATATAGCGGGTCTGCACCTGATAGACTTAAATTCAGTTTAGCCCCTACGCGGTTGCCATGGTTACATATAATCACCCAATCGCTGACCATCCATCTGCCCATCTTTGGTTTCTTCCCCTACAAATGATTTTCCTTCAAGACAGCTACATACACACGGCCCTGGCAAGGTAGCTCAGTTGGTTAGAGCGTCGTCCCAATATACTGAGGTTGTGAGTTCAATCCCCAGCCAGGTCACATACAAGAATCAACTAATGAATGCATCAATAAGTGGAACAACAAATCGATGTTTCTCTCTCCCTCCCTCTCTCTTGAAAAAAAAAAAAAAAGACAGGTGCATACAGGAGAAACCACTCCGGCTAACAGGAGTCATAACCCTCAATATAAATCACTCTTCATCCTCTCGGGAAATGGGGAGAATTCGCTACCAAAGTTGGCCGGTGACAGGGCCCTAAAATTGGCTGCAGCGCCCAGACATCCGGGAGCCTGGGCCTCTGCCCCCGGGACTCTATTCCAAATCCCAGCTTTCAGTATCCCTACTTCAGAGCCCAACCTCCGGACCTCCAGGTTTGCCCCTCGCTCTCCCTGGGAGGCGAGCACTGAAGAAACAGTTCCTACGATTTCACGAGTTTTATGGTTTATTCTAACAACAGTAATAAAATTTGATAACAACAATGTGCTGTGGGCTTTCATGTGAGTGAGACATGCAGCCTTTGGGGGGGGGACGGCGGAGGACCTCTCTAACTGTTGTTTTGAGAACAGACCATGGGGACAAGGGTGGAAACAGAAACAGTATCCAGGTGACAGGTGACCAGCTTGGATCAGACTGGAACTGGCGAGAGTGGGGGTCCTGAATATGCTGTGACAGCAGAACCCCCGGGTTTGCTGATGGGGATGGAAGCGTGGATAAAAAAGGCAAGGACAACTCAGGTTCTGACTTGAGAAACAGGAAGGCTGGCGAGACCACGGGGCGAGGGGGACGGCGAGGAAGAAGCTGCGGTGGGTGGAGGAGCGGGATCTCCGTGTGGGGCGTGCTCAGTTTGAGATCTGAGTCTAGGAGACACCCAAGTGGAGATGGCATGCAGGCGTCTGGAGATGCGAGTCTGGAGTTCATGAAAGAGGTCCAGACCAGGGATGTAATCCTGGGAGTCACTGGAACAGATGATTTCTACAGCCACAGGATTGGATGAGCACAGCGAGGGAGACGGTGCACCCAGGGGAGGGGAGAGGCCCCCGGACGGAGCCGGGGCCGCCAACAGGGGATCCGGAGGATCCAGCAACAGAGAAGGTGAAAACCAGTGCAGGGTGAAGGAAAGCAGTGGAGGGAGAAGGAAAGCAGTGGAGGGAACACACACGCACGCACACGAGAAGGAAAGCAGTGGAGGGAGAGGTCAGCAAGTGAAGGACGTGCTTTGAGAAAGAGGGGGAGAAAGCCCATCACCCAAGGCTGCTGGGAGGTGAGTAAGGTCAGTGGTCCAGCAGTGGCGGCCAGGGCACTGCAAGGCATGTTGGCTCCAGAGCGCATTGGAGGCCCTAGGGCCTAGGGAGAACAATCAGGGGAAAGGAGAGACAGTGGGGCTACCCAGCTCTTTGTAGGACTTGGGTGTGAGGAGGAGTAGCGCAGTAGCTGCAGCCGGAGGGGCCTGGGTGGGAAGGAGCCGCATGTTTGTGGGCTGGTGGCTGGTGGCTGGTGGCTGGTGGGAGCGTCCAGCGTGAACCTTGCTCTTGGCTGCAGTGCACATGGGAATCACTGGCTGATTAAGTCAGAATCTTTGGGGACAGGAGCCCCGTCTTTGTTTTTTTTAAAGCTTGCCAGGGGATTCCAATGTGTAGGCAAGATGGAGAGCCACCGCGTGAGAGAAAGGAGCACGGGTGAGCGGGAAGGAGGGGGTGCTTGCCTGAGCAGAGGAGGGGTGGCACCTGGTGCAGGTTTGCCTCAGTGGGTGTCCCTGCTGGGAGGGGCCAGAGGGGCGGGGCCAGGTGCAAGTTCCCTTCCCACTGTCCCTTTGTCAGAGAAACAGGAGGAAGGGTCATCCGCTGGGAGTGAGGGGAGGGGGAGTGTGGAGGCTTGAGGAAGGCCTGGTCCGAGACTGCTTTCTTCTCAGTGTCTCCTGGGCCTCGTGGGAAGTACCTGGTCAGTAAATGCCTTTGGCTGACTGATTAACTACTCCATGGGCATCTGTCTTGGCATAAGCCACAAGATCACCGAAACCGAGACCAGGGCAAAAGCCAGGTGCAAAGATCAGCCTGTTTCACCAGGACCCTTTCCTCTCCCATCCTCCCCACTTCAACACTCCGATCTTCAGTGCAGCGTTATAAACCAAATGCACGCTTTGTACCGCTCCTACTCAGAATAGAAGCGTCTTAGATCATGTACAATAAAAGGCACAAATATAACAGAACCATTAAAATAAGGATGAGAAATATGACTGGACACCCTCCTGGGGGCCGAACAGGAAAGGGCAGGCCCGCAGGGAGCCGGGATTCTTCTCTCTGAACCCCCTGAGGGTTGCGAGGTGCCTCTTTGACTGAACACAGCACTCCCAACTTTGCAGGTGTGTCTCCCAGATGAACTGGATTTCCTCCCTCTGTTTCAGAAAATGCACATTTTAGGAGCCCTTTTAGACACAGCTTCCCCGGGCTGGGTGGTGGTGGCTGGAATAGCCCCCGAGAGCCTGGGTGGTCCCCCTTCTCGCTCTGGCGTCCCCAGTCCAAAGCCCATCACCACGCCTTCCAAAATCCCCTGCGATTCCTCTTCTGCCTTAATAAAAACCCCTCTTCCCACCGGGCCCTTCAGCAGTGTCCCATTTTCAGGCCCCTAACTCCGTCCCCTGGCATTCGATGATCTAAAAGCCACTCTAGAAAGACATAAAATCAATAACCCTAAAGCTACATTTGCATCTCAGACAACATAATATCTCCAGTAAAGGTTTGGTGCACACGCAGTGCATGGAAAATGGAAAAGGACGCACGCTGGCATCCCCTTCCCCACATCAAACACACACACACACACACACACACACACACACACACGCACGCACACGCCGTGAGCTCAGGCGGGCTTCCAGCCCACACAGCTGGGAAGCTGGCTGTGTGCCAGTGTGGTGGGAAACAGCCGTGCTGTGCTGCCTGGCAGTCCTGGGGGACGGGCTGTTCTCCAAGGCCACCCTCCACAGCCACGCACCTTCTGGCGGGCGACAGGCAGGC